ATATCTCTATCTATCTATCTATCGTTCTATCTATCTATATATCTCTATCTATCTATCTATCTATCTATCTATCTATCTATATCCATCCATCCATCCATCTATGTCTAAGACAAAGATAAAGTTTATACAAAGATATAGGACTGTTTCATTTTGTTGTATATATATACATATAGGGTTAAGGTTATATTTTTTTGTGAGATTCAACCTAAAATGCGTTGAAAGAAAATTAGAGGACGATAACTACAAATAACTGCATTTGATGCTTGACTCACCGAATTTTGAAGTAGTACGCACCAACAAGTAAAATTAGTACAATGGCAACGACGCCAATTACGATGGCAGCGACACTTCCTAGAAAGTAATAAGGAAAAGATTTAGTTTGATGAATCATACATGACAAAGCTATTTCAAGTATATTACTAGAAAAATAGCTGTATTTTTGCATTATTTATAATTCCTATCAAGCAAAACACATAAAAGCAACTGTATATTCAGTGTACTGAAAAGACAAATCAAACTGCAGCCGAGTGTAAAAATGTTTCTTTTCACATACAGTGGCTCAAAAATGTGTTTAGATACGTTAGATGAAGACACGCTAAAAATGTGAATGTCAATGCACTAGATAACAAATTATTAAAGAATAATTTATTTTAAAGAAAGATAACACACACACACACACACACACTTTTCAATTGAACTGTTTCACAAAAAGAAGTTTGTCAGGTTTGAAATGATAAAATGAGGACAACTGACTTCATACATCCACTGAAAATCACTGCAACAGCAGTTAGCTCAAAGTAATGAGCTACTTGTTCAGTTTGAACACTTGTTAAGACGTTCCAACAGTTTTATCAGGGTTGTGTCCAGATGTCACTATCATTTTCGGCCACTGCTTTTCCAGTAAGTTCTCGTTCAAATTCCAAAACATCCCAGTTAATGACACTTAGCTGTCATTCAACAAAAGTCATCAACGCAGTACAAAGTGCAAACACCTCATAGATGCTTATGAAAAGGGTGAGGAACAATTTAACTTTTATAAGAAAGGTCTAGCGAACTGTTAATGGTTCAATCACCCAGTTACTGTATTAAATATTAACTTCGGCCACTCCTAAAGTGTTTGGGAAACAGTGCTTTGGATGTGTCCAAAATAACAAATCCAGTTTCTGAAAACATTAACCTGTTGTGACACATCTCTGACCTTGATCGATATCCAAGAACTTTGCATTTGACAATATAGTTTTATTACAGGCTTAATGAGCAACAGGGTTGTAATTTAAGCTAATGAAATTCATGCTAACATTTCATCCAAAACCTCTTTTAGGGACGCTTCAGAAAATATTGAAGTGGTTAACCTCAATAAATTAGGTTGAATAAAGTGGCCCTATTTATGAAACCATATAGGTAACAATTGATAAAGTCTCATGAGGAAATGAAATAGGGTACACACTTGGCCCACTTAAGATCTGGAGCAGAAGGTCAAACAACAATCACAACTTTGTCTATTTCATCTATATATAAACATACTGTATTAAAATATTACATTTTTTTTTCAATAAAATGACATATTTACACACATACCTGAGCTCAGGGCCTCTGGGTCCTTCTTTTCTTCGTCAACAGAATCTGTGGGTTTAGTTACGGATGTTGCCGTGTTTTCGGTTGCTTTTATTGTTGTTTTTGTTATTGGTGGTAACAATGTAGAAGTAGAGGCCACCGTTGTAATCGTAGTAATTGTCGCTGTAGGTGTGCTTTTGTCAGTAGTAATAACCGTATCTGTGCTTCCCAGAGTTGTTTTCTGTGAGGTAAGACTCTCTGAAGAGGATGTTGTCTGAGTTTCATTCACCGAACTCGATGTGATTGTGGTCTCGTTGTAGGCTGCGCTGCTGAGCTCCGTCGCTGCAGAGGTAGCGTTATAGTCCGAGGTTGCATTTGTTGTTGTCTGAGTTTGTGTGGAGCTGTTCGTAGTGCTCATGCTCACGTTTTCTGAGGACCCAGCTGTTGTTTCACTTGTACTGGGGATCGTGGAGACAGATTCAGTCGTCGTTTGTGCCTCAGTGGCATTTGTTGATGTTGCGTGCGTTTGTGAAGGTGATGTCGCTACATGTGTAGTTGCAACTGTAACTGTAGCTGCTGGTGGTGTCGTGCTCGTTGTGCTGCCTCCAAATATCATCCAACCTTCATGTCACACAACAAGCCACTCATAATATACTGGTGGTAATACAGTGAATGCATTTTTGAACTATGACTGTCAACAAAACACTCCCTGCATCATAAAACTGAAACTATTTCATAAACAGGAAACGCTTTTTGTAAAGCACCTTCTTAATGTTTAGTAGTTACACGTTAGTTCAGTCATTTTTAGCTTTTATAAATTGGCTACCTTTATTACGCCTTGTAAAAACTAAAGCAGCACGTACTGCACATCGTCCTCAAAGCGCACTAGTAGCACGTGTTTTGAATGAATTATTAGTGTACTATTTAATATTACACACATCTCATAACTAGGCTACAACAGCAGAAGCAATGTCATTTAAATTTAAAGGCCTATTAAATCATTTGGATGGATAATGAGCAGGCTACGTAGCCTACGTATGTTGTTCATAACTTATAAATAATAATAACAGAAAAAAAAAACATTTTAAACATACCTGCTAATATCACCGCCGTTAAAAAGTGCATCTTCATTTTCCTTCCTCTTTCCACGTGCAACGCTGCGACTGTTGAACAGTTTCTCTATCGCACTGTAACACATGTAAGTGACAAGAAGAGAGCACGCCTCCGGTCCACCGTGACCTCCTATAATGGGTCATGTCAGATGAGCAAATAAACAGACGGGAAAATATGCTCATGAGGCAGATGTTATTAAAAATACACAAATATTGGCTGCAATGGCACCAAAGATAAACAGATGCTCGAGGTATGAAATGTAAACGTAAGAGACTAGAAGCGTAAAGGGTGTTATGACTAAAACTCACCACTAGGTGGAAGCAAATCCAAGTTAAACAGAAGTGAGAATTCTTAAACTTTCAGAGAAACGTTCGAATATATAAAAATAAATCAACAAATAAACAGAATAATGAATTACGACAGAATGCTACTTTCAGAGTAAATTATCATAGTTATTAAATGGAAATGATATTTGTTTCAGTATAACATTAGACTGTAGATACTTGTCGTATCATCATCATATGCTGAGACTACTTAGCCAGGTTTATCTTCATTCCAAACCACATTCCATGATGATCTGTCAAAATATGGGTAGAGTCATCTAGGTGGAGCTCAGTAGGAGCAAAGGCTGTGTTGACTTTGTTTTACAACTCACAAATGCATTACGGAGACATTTATATGAACATCTAACTGTACAAAGCAGAACAAGGCAGTCTGAAAGCAAGAAAGAAACCTGCTGAAAAGACCAGCATGATGTGGTTTGCTGGTTTAAGCTGGCAAATGGGTTTCCTCTGCTCTGACTGGTCTTCAGCCTAATCAGTTTAACACCGGTTGGCCAGGCTGGGTAACCAGATAAACTATCTTATACAAGCCAACTACAACAAAGCAACTTAGACTGGTTTAAGCCGGTATTTTGGGCAGGGAAGGAAATATTCATAATATTCTGTCATCCAAATGTCTTGATTCTGTCAGCAGATTAGCAGTGAAATAGGAAAGAATAATTAAACAGAAAGAAGTGTATAGCTTCATATTAGAGACGTGGTCAGGGAACGGCTGTAGTTTCAGAGGGACTGTTACTGTATGTGCAGGATGTCATTTCAAACATGCTTTCCATCCACATTTCTGTCTCCAAAATGATGCAACAACCTGAACAGAAAATGATGACGTGTCAAACCTGACATGTTCACAATGCAGCACTTAATGCATTTCAAGCAGCAAAAACTCTAGAGCAGTGTTATTTTAGAACCATTGAGGTACTATTATAGTTGTTGTTAATGTTAAATTAATTGTTTTGTTGTGCACTGTAAGGATTTAATGATTTCTAAAAGTTGTAAATAAAACAAAGATTAGTGGAGTGCGTACAAGAAAACAATATGTCAGTCTTTCTGTTTTATTTTTTAATTCAGTGTGTAGATTCTTTGTGACATTTACTAGCAATTTCTGAGAAAAATTGTTTCTACATCATTTCCCCCCAGTGTGTGTGTGTGTGTGTGTGTGTGTGTTTGTCATTTGATTAGTTTTTTTCCCCTATTTTTTTTCCAGTTTTAGTTATTTTAGTACATCAAGTTAAACTAAATGAAACTGAGAAATGTTGCCTTTGCAACTAGATTACATTTTATTTTAACATTTATTTTATTTCACTAACATTTTTTTTAATGGTTTTAGTTTCAGTTAACTATAATAACCCTGTTACAGAGTTTTGATGCAGCATAAATTGAGGGATGCACTCAAAAGATACATTTTGATTGCCGAGTAAAGTAGACAGAAAACGAGACAAGCACTGGTTGACAGTGACAACGTTTTTAAACTTTTAATAATGCATTAGTAAATGCTGAAATTAACATGAACTAAGATTCATAAATGCTGTAGACGTTCATTCTTAGTTCATGTTAACTAGTTAACTAATGTTAACTAATGAACCTTATTGTAAAATGTTACCTAATTATTTTAGCATAATAAATATACACTGGGACTTGTTTAATTTAAAAGTTGAGTAGTAGAAAAAAAAAAAAGCCATATAAAAGCATTGCCATATAAAAATGAAGAAACATATTCCAATCATTTATCAACTGTATTACTTTATGAACAAATGATTTCTTCGCTATATGGTCACCATCAGCACCAGAGTCTCTCCTCAAGCGCTCGTGTGGTGCGTGATGTAACAGCAGTGGGCGGGGCTCTACAGGTGCGTCGAAACTCGGAGCGCTTCTGATGTCGACAAGCGCAGACAGTCACGTGACTTTCAACAATAGCCAGATTTGATGGGATCCTCCCACGAGAAGTTTCTGCTCTCCGGCTACTTTTTTGAAACAACCGGAAACAAACCCATCATTCACAGCAGGGCTATATTTGTGATCTCCCAAGTGCATCATCATGCGAACTCCTGGGATTTTTATTTTCGGGATGGTGCTCGCGCCTTGCGGGTGGATTCTGGAGCTGACCAGCACCGTGGCACCAGCCTGGCGCACGATCAACAACATCCCGGGGGAACCCAGCGACCTGGTTCTCCAACAAGGTTTATGGGACATCTGCAGAACTTTCACATCGTCCCGGGATATTCAGTGCAACCAGCAGGACACGCAGTACTTCAGCGCGCAGATCATCCAGATCGCGCGAGGTCTGATGCTGTCGTCGCTCATTCTCAATATCATTGCCATCGGCGTGGCAGCAGTCGGAGTCCGATGCTGGACTGAGAACCCGCACTGGACGGTCGCTGGGATCGGAGGTCTCCTCATCTTCATCTCAGGGGTCCTCACCATCATCCCAGTGGCGTGGTACACTCACATCATGACCTCTATCTTCTCCGCATCCACCGATGTTCGTGTGGGATACTGCCTGGTGCTGGGCTTCATCGGCGGCATCATGGAGGTTCTCGGAGGACTGGTGATGTCCATCGGCTTGTGTCGGCGCTGTGGCGGTCGGAAGCGCGATGAAAGGCCGAGGGCATTCGCGGTGAAGTCCACGCGCGATCCCTCTCCACCGCACAGAGTCACGGTGCCCAGCATCAGCAGCGTCAGCAGCAGCGTCCCGTATTACTCCAAACAAAGTGAGATGGACTTCGCACGAGCCAAGAGACAACAGGACAGCAGACCAGCGAATAGCACTGCTTATAAAGCACGACCTTACGACACAGATTTGTGAAAGAACTTTTAATCTTGTGAACAAACTGCACGCCAGAATCCTCACGAAAATCACCATGGCAACCGTCGTTTACCGCGTTAAAATAACTGATCTATATATTGGCTATATATATCTATATTATATATCAGTGGTTAGAGTGCTTATAGTTACCAGAGTTTATCGATCAGATGAAAACAGACAGTTTCTTTTTTTGATGACAGTTCTGTCTACACTCTAAAAAATGCTGGGTTAAATACAACCCAGTGCTGGGTAAAAGTGTCTGGTTATTCCTTGAATATTATGTTAGATTTGTCATTTACTGTAAAACTGGGAAAATAGGCCTATGTATTTTGTACACTGTACATTTCATTTTGTTTACATATTGCAAACATATTAAACTGAGAAATCTAGTTATGGTTACTTAGTATATCCAAGTTTTCATAAATGGGCTTCTGAGTAAACTGGAATATATTGAGCAACTTTAACAATTTTTTTCTGAGGCAATATGTTAAATTTCTTCAAGTAGCGTTTTTATAAGTGCCTTATATTTTAGAATGAAAAATGACGTTGTTCTAAGTAAAACATAGAGTCACTGTAAAATTTACAGTGTAAACAGTAAAAGGAAGTGGCCCAAAGTTTATATAGTTGTTTATACTTAATTTTATTGCAAGTCGTGTGTTTAATGTTACATTTTAGGATGTTTAGTTCATGTTGAACATTATAGTGTGTACTGTCTATATGTTTTTATTAGCCGTGGTTCACGGAAAGGCTATTTTGATTAACTGTAAATCATCATGTGACCTTTTGTTTTACCACCTGTATTATCATGGATGTTATCGGTCATGTCAACTACTCAGCTATAGCACTTTAGCTGAAACTCTCATTACCATTATAAATATTGGACCTGGTAAGGTTTTGAAGTTATACTGAAGAGCACTAACACCATTTGTTTGCTTTTATACGTTGCACTTTATATTGTGAGGCCCTCGTCATTGTAGTAACAGTACCTTAATGTCTTTTTGTAGTACTTTGGGCTCTGATGTGTAAATATGTAACTTATTAGGAACCTCTTAAGTTTGTACAGTTATACCAACTACAAAAAGCAAATACATTCTTCTGAAGGAAGCTAATCTTTGCACAACCACTGCACACAGGATAGGCTTTGAATGTTTGCAGAAATGTATGTCACTGGTGTTTACGATAGACAGAATGATATGCCAAATATATCTTTGTGGACGTTTTTGTGAATGTTAATATCGTAATTGACATCCACGCACCAAATTTGACGCAAATGATTGAAGGCTGTTTATATTTATGTATTTTTATGATTGTGATGGGTGAACACGTGCCCTCATATAATTACCTGAATTACTATAATAAAAAAAGAAGTTAAAATCGTTCATTTTGAAGAAATGTTGAGTACAACTTTATGCATTCTTATAATAAATATGATCCTCTTCTTGCTGTTTTTAAATGTGACTTTACATTGCTTTTAATATTTAATTTTCTTTATTTATAACCGTATATTCTGAATGTACAATGTGTAAGTCATCAGCATGATAACTTTTTTTATTATAACATTTATTATTACTGACCATATGATGGCTTGCGAAACAAACAAACAAACCAAAAAGTTAAAAAAAAGATAGAAACCGCAAGACAAAATGTATATCATAAAAATATGAAACACTATTTGGCCATTTATCAACTAAATTAATGTACTGTATGAAATGAAAAGGCATAAGTGTGTGAATTAGAGAAAAAAAGTGAACCATTATTTTGAACTAGGTGATTGAAACCAACATAGACAACTTGCTAGATTGAACAAAACTTTATGCAGATGAACTTTTGACCTGAAACCTCATTGTTTACTCCAGTATAAACAACTTTTCTTTGTGACAACTTGCCCCAGTCTCTCCTATTTAGCCCTGCATACTGGTGTTCCAGGTTCGGTTGAAACACGGCATGCAGCGAAAACCAGTTTTGTTTGTGTTTGAACCAGACATTCGACACCACACCCTTCAGATGCTTATCAGACAGATCCACCTCCTCCAAGTTTCAGTATGTTTCTTCTTAAGCACCAGACACACTCGACTCGCTTCAGAAGCGGACAGCAGCTCAACCCTCAACCATGCGGACTCCGGGGATCCTGATATTCGGCATGGTCCTGGCCCCCTGCGGATGGATCCTGAACCTTACCAGCACGGTCGCGCCCAACTGGCGCACCATCCACAACCTGGCAAACGAGCCTACGGATCTGGTGGTGGAACAGGGAATCTGGGACATCTGCAGGACCTCCACAACGTCTAGATCCCAACAGTGCAACCAACAAAGCAACGACCAAACGTATTTTAGCAACCAGATCATTCCGATCGCTAAAGGAATGATGGTCGCGTCGTTGATTGTGACGGTGCTCGGCCTGGCGGTGGCAACACCCGGAGTCAGATGCTGGAAGGACAGACCCAGATGGATACTGGCTTCTTTGGGTGGCCTCCTTATCTTCTGCTCCGGAGCCCTGACCATCATTCCCATTGCGTGGTGCACTCATCTCCTCACCAGCCTCAATTCCACCTCCGTCAAAAGAGACCCAGCCAGAGCGGATGACATTCGTGTGGGATACTGCATCATTTTGGGCTACATCGGAGGCATCCTGGAGCTCCTCGGGGGTTTTGTGATGTTCCTCGGGATTTGCTCCTGCTGCGGTGGACGCAACCGCGGAGAAAAGCCTCGAACCAACACACAACGGCCGGCGAACAGGCCGACGCCTCTGCCAAGGGTCAACGTACAGAGAAGCTTCAGCAGGAACACTGAAAGCAGCGTGCCGTACTCGCAGAAGTCACTAGACGATGACCTGGACTTCCCAAGAGCCAAACCCCGAGATATGGGATCCGTCAACACATCCTACACCGGAAGACCTTATGATGCTGATCTGTGAAATTATTAGCTTGGTACATACTGTGAAAATGTTCTGAGCGGTAATCACTGTTAAAGACCTGATAGATGTTTGAACAACTGCACTCTCGAAAATTAAGGTTCTTTGTCGTCACTGATGGTTCCATTTAGAACCTTTAACATCCATGGAACCTTTCCATTGAACAAAAGATTTGTATTGTCATTGTTTAGATTTGTAGGGTTCTTTAGAAGAAATGGTTTGTTTTTTAGGAGTTTTCACTGAAAGCTTTTTTGGGGAACCCAAATAGGTACTTCTACGGCAAAAAAACCGTGGTACACTTGTTACACCAGTCTTTTTCTTACTGTTACAAGTACTTTGCATGTTTACAAGTTATTGATTGTGCTTGCCAGTTGCACTTTTAAGCTAAGAAATATGAAGGTTTTAATTTTAGAGTTGTAAATAGACAAAACGTAACTTCCTGTCGAAAGACGAGGTTCGTAATGCAGGATTTGATTTTATAAAAATGAGCTCATTTGAACAATGAATATCTGTGCAATATTTTCTTTTGCTGTGGGAAAACAACCTAAAGTCAGAAGAATGATCAGGGCTTTCTGTGATGCAGTGTAACTAGTAACACTGGTTGTTTCAGTTTGATCTCCACTGCATGCTCTGCGGCACGTGGGTCATGTTTGAACTGTCAGGTGACCTGTGAGTCATGTGAACAATGCCATGAAGCATGTTGTTTCAAAAATCAAGATTGTTGTAGTAAATACCTACCTTTTTCTTTAAAGCTACATATTGTAAATATAATAGTTTTTGTGCCAGTTTTTCCAAGATCGTCTGCCAAAGAATAAAACACGTTCAGCTGTTTCAGTGAGCAGACAACATACCTCCAGTCTGGAAATATCAAAACAAACTTACCTGTTACACAATTGACTGCAGAGCAAAACATGCAATGTATTACAACAATAAATTAATAAAGTGAATCATTAACTATAAACAGATCCATACAAGAGCAGCGGTGCAAATGAGGTTAAATGGTCTAAAACCATCCAGATAAAGGAAGTAGGGTGTATTTACTGTCATTTCCCATTGGGGTTTGTGTGGTTTCTAAGCAGCAACCCATCATCTTTTAAATCTCTTTGTAAAGGTTCTTTATTTAATTTTTTGTATTAAAGTGCTAGTTATTAAAAACAAATCTGTTGTACATGTCTATCGATAACTACTGTAATACAAAAACAAACAAACAAAACAAAAACAACAACCCCCTTTAGGGATTCAAGGAAACACTTTTTCATTTTTTAGAACAATAACCATATGTTGTAGACGTTATACTTAATAATAATAATGATAACATTAATAATAATACTATAAAGGTTGGACGTTTGTAAAAACCAAATGTACAAAAATTCACTAATTTATGATAGCTTATTTGAACATGACCTTGATGTTTATTATTGCATATATGCAATTATATACATATTGACAATGGAAACTAGAGGCATTAAAACAAAGTATATATAGCAAAATAAATGTGAAATTAATTAATTTAAATAAAGATAAAGATACGTTAACTGGGAAATGTCAGATAAAAAGGCCACTCATTTGGAAACATATTGCTAAAAATAGAGCAAATATTGTTGAAGTGCACTGAATCAATCTTTCATGATATGACTGAGAAATACAAGCAGACAAAAAACAAATCTCTTTATTCAAAAATACTGTACAGACAGTCATGATAACAGCTGAATGAGGCCCTTATGGTGCGTTCAAGTCATGTCGGATAGATCGTATTTACGAGTTGAACGCACATGAACGCCACCACAAAGTCGTTATTACGAAACTCGAAGTTTTCTTTAAGCCCCGAGTTTCCGAGTTGGGGGCGTGTCAGTGAGAAAACGCGTCGGATGCAATGGACGCATCTAAAGACTAGATATGCAGCATCTGTATTGATGGTAAATTTGTTGAAATTAATAAAATGATAAATTTTTTGTAATGTAAAATAAAACTAGATGTTACATATACAAAATATTATATTATTGTATAATTACCAAACAACATATAATGATTCAGTTTACATCACCTTCATAAATTTAATAAAAACAGAAAAAAGCAAAAACACAATGACGC